AAAAGTTGCTTCCGCTTGTGAAAAGTTCTGCTCAAGTCTTGGCTATTGAACAGCGAAAATCGCAGGTCTCTATCTCATTCCTATCAAAAGTTATTCAAAAAGCAATCAGCGGTCTGACCATTTGGAACGGATAGTACTATAGTTATTTGTACCAAATTATAGAAAAAACGATTTTTGGTTTAGTGTAAAAATTTACTATATACTTAAAACTGGTTACGTTTTACATTAATTCGGCTGAGAAATGTGAAAGAGTCATACACTGTGAATCATAAGAACCAAAGAAAGAGTAGCAAAGATATTTTAAATTGTATCTTTTTCATAAAATTCCTTATATAAAAATCCTGTGGGGGTTGTTTTTCAGAACGTTGAAAGTTAGTGATACTGATCAGTTTTTCAATTTCAATCGAATGGTGCATTAAAAAGGTAAATTAATTGTTTTTTAAGCCAGATGATCCACGTTTTTAAACTTATAAACTCGTATATGGTTTTCAGACATCTATTTTATCATAGAAATTTATTTTTCCATACTAAACTGAAATATTTGCAAATCTCTCAAAAGTTTATACGTTATTATTCGTAGATTTAGTCTTATTATTATTAATGTAAGAAAAATAAGAAAAATTTTTTTTTAATAAATAAAGTTCAAAAGTTTGAACAATTTAGTATAATCTTTGTTAAGAAAGAAAGAACATAAAATAGTAGCGTATTATAGAGATAAATGATAACAATTTATCGGAGAAAAAGAGAGCAAGAAAAGAAAACGATAATCCCACATAGTACAATTTATGCGTAGGGTATTAACTTACAATATATTTGTTATTCTTTCGTTGATAGTGTAAAAGAGAAGAAAAAAAAACAGTGACAAGATGTATATGGAAATACGTAATAGTGCTATTTTCATCATCGATGGGTTAGGTGGTTTATTGAAACCTTAAGATAACAGTGTGTAAATATCGTATGATGAGAAATCATAAGGGAGAAAATGAAGTCTGACGTATTTAGAAGTATCGAACATCCCGAAAAGAACAATATTTGAATTGATAATTTTGTTCACGTATATGAAAAGAAATTTGTCGGTCTCCGGGATAGAAAAAAACAATATTTTTGTTTAGCTTTCTATTCCTTCAGCAAGAAGAGACAAAAAACGAAAAGATTGATATTACTACTAAGAAAAATTCTCATTTTTATCATGCTCTAATTTCTTTTCAGAAGGCTCCTAACCGAATAACAGCTCTGCTTAAAACACAACTAACTGCTGTCATAAACTACCCACTAGGGATTAATTGATTTAACCTTGCTCTACTATTGAGAAGGAAGAGAGACAACGAGAGAGAGAACATAAATACAAGGCTGTCAATACAAAGAATAGAGAGAAAAATATATGCCTATGTGTGCATAGTATAATAGTTAGTATAATCTAATGTTTATAAATATTCATTCTCTTGATGTGTAGAAAGTAATAATAATGGCATCAACCATAACTGATACACGAATATTTCGAGTCGCTAAACGAGAAACTAAACCATATCAATTATTTTTTCTTAAACTTAAACATGATTGGTTATTGGTCTTCGCTGCTATGCTTGCGTATACATTTCTTATTGCTCTATTACCCATTGCTATAACATTAGATCTTATTCATAAATTACTTTATCATTTGTCTATCTATCTCAATGTTGTAAATTGAATAGATAAGATAGATGAATGTATTAGTATTTGGTATACTTGGTCTAGTTTTAAGTAATAATTCAGATTTACAAGAGAAAATGAAACAAAAAATTATTAATTCATTTCCGAATACAACCAAAGAGAGTATGAGAGAGATCATTAATTTGGCATTTAATCAACTCTATCGACAGGCAGGCGTCGTTTTAACATTAGGTATTCTGTTCGCTATTCTCGGTAGTTCACGACTATTCGTAGCTATTGACCGATGTATGACTATTGTTTATCGATTAGAAGAACGAACATTTTTAAAGAAGAATCTATTAGCTTTGGGTATGCTATTTCTTTTCATTATTCTCATACCGTTGATGATTGGTGCTTCGTCTGCTCCATCATTTTTACTCGATGTTATTCCGAATGCTGGTGGCCGATTCGGAACTTATATTCTTGGTCTACTCACAAGTATCGTCGTCTCATTTATTTTATTCGAAATTATCTATTTTATCATACCCAACAAAAAGATGACATTTAAACAGACATGGTGCGGAGCGCTTATTGCTTCTCTTGCTCTTCAACTATTTATGATTCTATTTCCATTATATGTACGAAAATTTATGACAAATTATGTAGGTCAAATTGGTTTTGCTATTATTCTCTTGTTATTTTTCTTCTATTTTGCTATTATTCTCATTTTGGGTGCACAAATTAATGCATTTTTTTTTGAAAAAATTCAACCATTGCCTTTTGCACTTGGTACATTCGTGAGTAAACTGTTTGAAGAATACGGAAATTTAGAATCAAAACTGCCGTTAAATCGACAAACACGCAACGAAACACAGTACGTTTAGAGAGAAAAAAAGTTGATATGCGATTCTTTTTACTTCGATTATTCAATACCACTACTCTTTTATATATATATGAAGATCATTTCACATTGTACGTATATTTTTCTTTTCACTTTAAACTGTATTTGACAATAAATTTAGAATATAAGACATTGTCATACTATGATAAATACAAGTGTTATGATAGGATTTACATTTATCTATTTTAGAATATAATCTCCATAAACTAATAATTTTTTTCCAATCACTCATTTACTGTGCTACAGAAGAGTCTGGGTTATTACTTCGATTAAAAATTTCCTAGAGTATTCTCTATAGAACAAGTATGTCGATAAAAAACCTTTTGTGTTTTTCAGACTGAACTGCACAGTATTCCATTAAATCTTTGAACTATTTTGCTTAAAGTTAAATCCAAGGAAAAGATCATGCGAAATTTACCAGTGATAAGACCTGTTATCAAACAATTTTCTACAGAAATAAACCACGAGATGTAAGAAAAAACGACAACTTTCAAGTTTTCGAGTTTTTCGCTCAATACGCGCACTAAAAATTTTTGAAGTAAGATATTCGTGATCAACGGAAAATTCTGCATCAAATGATATATGTTTGAGCCACAAACTGAAATGTCACTGTAACTCTGCATTTGTAGCGCCTTAATACAATCTGAGTGAACTGATTGATCTTCATATGAGTCTACGTTCTTTCGAAAGTCGAGTCTGATATGACCAACTTGTGTGCCACAAACAACTTCTGTCCCAGTAAGATAAAATGCATCTGTTATATACTAGCCGATGTAACAGTATTAACTCTGCAAAGTGGAATAGTTTTAATTTTAATACGGCTGTTCTAGACGTTTTCACCGAGAAAGTACGCGAAAAATTACTTTTTCCAGTTTAACACTCTAACTTGTTATTGTAGACACTCTTGATATAATCTCATGTATGATCCCGTGTAGCAGACATTTCTCTCTCAAACGCAGCTTGAATTAACTAAAACAGTTGCAAACAGTTGTAACTGACAGTTGTGAATCAGTTCTTGAACGTGAGTTTTATGGACTCTGCGAAACGAGGGTAAAATTGGAAAATTTTGTCAATTTTGAACGGGATCGGAACGGGATTCAAAATTTTGAACGGAGTTTCGATGCACGTTCCATGTTTTATGCCGCTAAATAAATGTACCATTTAATCTAGCTGTAAGCGAGGTATTTTTGCTCTTGCTTGGGCTGGACAAAAAAACGGAAATAAAATTTATTTCCAGTCGACTTGGATGATGAATTCATGAATTCTTACAGTTTTCTTTTTATCTACATTAGTCAACTTTAAGAAATTTCTAATTTTTAAATTAATTTTTCTGCGTATTTATCTATAGGATACCAGTGCTTAATAGAGGCGACTTTGTTCAAAATTTATATGAAGTTAAGAAACCTTGTTGATATTTTAGTAAAAGCAACCCGGGATCTTTTCGGGGAGAAGTTATTCTTCGGGTTTCGTACGCTACCTCTATTTCATCAGCAGCCTACAAACCATATTTCATAAAAGGGTTATTGCAAAAACAGGAAAAACTAAAGGTTTGGTAGTGATTCCTTTTTCTAGAGAGTACAAACCATGAGCTGCGGGTATTAATCGCCAATCTCGTACCGAGCACACACCGTTATATTTGAAAGTACTTGATGCTATTCTAAAAAAACCAAGTACTTGTCCGAGTACAGGAAACACATCTCAAGTATTTGTTTATTTACAAATTTCCGCAAGTACTTGCTAAGTAGTATTTTTGGAAATACTTGCGAAGTTCCTGTAATACATGTAAAGTACTTGTCGAGCGAGTATCCTCAGAAATTTGCAAGTAAGCAAGTACCCACTCGCAAGTACGTTCACTAGGGCAGTTCTATGAATCTTTGGTGAGTTTTTTATAATTTTTTAGCACCAGCGGCATGCCATGTGCTCTCTGTTACAGTTAGAACCTAATTATTCTTGGAAGAATGGTTACGATTTTGCTGGTGAAGAAATTAGATATCTATTTCTCTCTATACGATGTGGTCATTAATAAAAACACAATACTAAAAGAGGAAGGTAATAGATTCCTTCAAATTGAAGTATATTAGACAGTTAAATAACACCCAACAAACATCACCTATGGGAAAAATTTAGGTACATTTCGTGTGTAATCGGGCGACACACGACTAGTTGTCATCTAGATTACTACTATACGTTTCAAAAAAGAATGCCCCTGACTATTTTTCGAATAACAATTGATAGAAAGTAGGTAAAGAGATGCAGTTTTCGCTGTTCGACAGCGAACACCTTAAGACCTCTTGAAAAATAAAACTCGGACCAGGTCTACCACCTGCAGGTGGTAGGCCATTCATATCTTTGAAAGACAAGGTTGGAAAAGAACAAAAAAAAGATTTTTTTCGCGTTCCTTTATAGATTCGAACCAGCAAACTTTCCTCTACAAAACCTCAGAGAGCTCATTTTTTTCTGTTCTCCCGTTCCAGATAGGAAGCGATTCTCCGAGGACGACCCTAACCGCTTTTTTCACTTATATTATCGAGCGAACACTTCCCAAATAGGTTATCGATTAAGCTGAATCTCGTGGTAATATTAGTTTGCAGAACAAAATGCAGTAACCAAGTGAAAACCTATACTAGGTGAAATAACCCATTTCTGATTATTTTGATCAAAAATTGAAAAACTCATAACTCAGTCAAAATCCATCCAATATATTTCAGAATGTCAGGAAATACTCTATTTTATCTGAGACAGGATTGGTAGGAAGTTCTTCTTACCAATTAGTGTTACTGGTATGCCATATTCCAGTGAAGCGATACCGGTCCATTTACCTGTTCCTTTCTGAAATACGAAGAGTAGCAATTGTAAGCACAAACAAAAACGAATAAACAGTTAGCATAATGGAACCAGGGACGATTTAAACATGTAAGCCAGAGTCTTTTAACCTAGTAAATACCTGTCCAGCCGCATCTCGTATTGTGTCAAGTATAAATAGATCTTTTTCTTTAAATCTTAATATATTGGCAGTTATTTCAATTAAATATGATTCTAATGTGCCTTTGTTCCATGTTGTAAATGTCTAAACAAAAATGGAAGATCGTAATAGATTTATACCATAGAAAACGACAACTGTTATTACATCAGCGATTTCTGTTTCTGACATACCCAATATATCTTTCATAATTTGATAAATTTCACAAATCAACTGCATATCACCATATTCAATACCAATATGAACCATTTTAACAAAATGACCAGAACCAGATGGACCTACCTAAGAAGAACAAGAAATAAACGTATAAAAAGCATTCTGTTAATTTTGAAGGAAATACACATGCATACCCAATCACATCATGGTTCATTATCGGCTATGGCTGAAAAATCGACTGAAATATATCTTTGGTATGTGGCCTATAACACAAAAAATAAACATGATTCCATTATACAATATAGAGTAATGTAAAGATATAACAAACAAATATGTTAAATAAAATTCTAAAAAGACCGTTTAATAGTCTAAACTGTTTTCATTGTGAATCATGTCCATGAGTAGTATTGATTACCGTTTCATTAAAAGCGATACATTATCAAATATCTGGAACAAGTTCTATGAAGATGTAGTTATTCTGAAAAGTTGCTCATCTGTAAACCGACTTTCATTTCTACTAGTTAGAACCCGTTTTATTTGCCATTGTTTAGTTGGATCCGATTTACTGATTTGAATGCAATCGGTTAAGTTAATCGAATAATTATCCAGTTCAGCTAGTTTTATTTTATTCTTTTGATTAAATGCTTCTTCGATAATCGCTGATTCGATATCAGCATATTTTCTCCATTCTTTATTTCCATTTGTTGACCATGGATCAGAATTTGATTTCCAGTACCATTGAGCTCATAGTTGATCAACTCCTTTTATCGCCTGACTTACTATTTATTAGACTGTTTGGAACTGATGGGTCCTAGAAACGTCCGTGGATCTAGAAAAGACACGGAACAAGTAGCAGAATATTCTGTAATTGAAGAATTACTTGTTCAGCTCTTCAAGACTAACTCTGATTATGTTTACATTCTATTAATTAGTAAAACTGACACTTGTTTTTACAGTTTAGTACATAGCAAAAGTGAAACAAAATATATCTGGAACAGAAAACAAAACGTTTCGATCAAGGCATCTTCTCTGTGGTTTAGATAGTACCCAGGCCGATGATTCCGAAGACAAGTTTCTGAAAGATCCGACAGGATCCGACGTCGGAACATGCCGGAATCTGGCATAATCCCACCAGAACCATGTCGTATTATGTCGGAATTCAGACCGATGTTGTTTGCAAAGTTCTTAATGAGGTATGGCGTTCTATGCAACAAGTAGAGGCATCAAATGACTGCTTTAGTTTCAGGATTAGCGCTCAAATTTTCGCAAAAAGATTAAACAACAACAATTTTGTTAATCTTCTTATGTGGAGGCTCCTGAATCTGTTTGAGAGAGATCTTTTCAGTCGTGAACAAACAGGACAAATTGATATGTCATCATTCAACCCGAACAGTATCAACAATGTTGACGTACTCATATGACATGGACAAATATTAATTGCAATCAACTGCGTGTTTTTCCTTTCTAACGTTAGCTAGTTTCTAACATTCTAATTTTATCTAACAGTGACACAAACAACTCCGTCATGATGAACGCAGTTAGAAAATATTGACTATGTATGAGAACAATGTCTTAGTGCTGTATGGAACTGGAACATGAAATACCTTTTACTCATTATAATCGAATGAATATTTTATTCTTTCAAACGCACATTTGTCAGGCACCTTAAGTCACTCTGTTTCTTATTCTGATGAAAGTGAAACAAAAGCAAAAATGGTATGTTTTCTTTTCACTCAATAGGCAACTAGCAAAATTGGAGATATTTCTTCTTGCACAAGATACGCGTGTGCAAACATTGCGATATATGAGACGTAAAGAACGAGGATGAAAGAAGAAGTTTAAAAAAGTGTTGAAAGAATACACTGGAAACTTCATCGTAATAAATGTAGAAAAAAAATTTCTCTGTGGGTGCAACCTTTACCTAAACATACGTATATATAAAATAAAATAAAAGATTTGACGTCAGATATTGCTATTTACCTCATTTTGATGAGAAGCACAAGATAATAAGTACGATATCGTAAATGTGACTGTTGGCCAATCCAGCCTTCAGTAAATTATACAAAAAATGTCTTTTCTATGTAGACGAGCGGAAAGTATATATACTTATGTCATTATATGGTTTCGTCTGTCGCATAACAAGAGTAAAATATAAACGAATAAACAATAAAAACAATGGAGAAAGAGGTCTTTGAGCGAACCAGTTACTGTGAAAAAGTAATCGAGATGAACGTGGGTTTCAAACTGGTTTCTTTCTCTCTTGTATTCGAGCTATAATTTACAAACTAAAACCCAACCCACTATTTTGTATGTTCATAAGAATATCACTAAGAAAAAAGAGATCTGTTCAACATTTTGATGGGCATTGAAAGTATCTCATACCAGCAGCTTTCAAGAAAGCTGGAATATCACTACTATTAGCATTCTACTGTGTGATTCCATCCCCAGCTAAACATCTCGAGTCTGTTTACGCAACTCGATCTCGAGTGTCAAAGATAACAGATTGACTGTATGCTTGGTCCGTTATCTTTTCGTGCCAGTCGGATTGATAGAATAGCACAACAGTCAACAGAAGCACAATCATTATCTGTAGGTCTGAGTCAAAAATCGTCGATCGACCCGGTTCATAGTGTTCAATTTTTCGTCAATTCGTGATATGGCAGAATTTGACAGAACGATCTCAACCAGAAAACAATCTGGTTATCTGTCATCATGTTCAGTAACACAAAAGCACTATCATCAACGGCAACAGCCCGGCGAGCAAATGAAAATCTCCGACACAGAGTGCTCTGAGTTGTCAGAGATGTCAACGTTTAGAACTGACGTATGCAGGTGGAAGTGGTGGTCATGAACAACCACTCCCTCTGCAACCGTCCCCATTCGCTTAGCGACGTCTCGACATTCCAATGTCGAAGAGGTAATCACCGACGGCTCTCTCTTGTATTTGTTACCACGTGGCGAAATACACGAAGGTTCTACCGATGAATCTCCTAACAGGAAGACCCCAAATCAGTTCAGCGACGATTTAAACTGAGCCGACTCTAGCAAGGAACAAATGCTTATGGATCGATCGCCACCGAGTAAAATCAGTGACGTCGGCGATTTGGCCGAACAATTACAGCTTGGCTCCTCCCATAATTGACTTCCTTATTTTTGTTTCTATTTTTTTGGTTCGGTTTTTGTTGCTATTATTGTCTTAAGTTTCATTTTGTTTTTTGTTATGTGTTTTGACTTTTCTTTACTTTTTATTTTTTTATCGAATGCTTGTTTCTTTCTCGTAGATACCCTGGTGAGCTTTTACACTAATAAAAGTGAAACGGGTCGGTAAATAATATGTGTATTCAAATAACCTCTCAGTTCTCCCTTGTAAGTAGTCAGAGCTTTTAGCTTTTTCTCTTTCTTGTAGATCAGGTGTATTTTATATGTGATCGCTTGCTCTTATTTCTTAAGAGAACAAAAGTATTTTTCTTTTTCTTGTTCTCCGTTTACTTGGAAAATTCCAACAACCCGACGAGCAAACAAAAATCTCCGACACAGAGTGCTCTGAGTTGTCAGAGACGTAAACGTTTAGAATTGGCGTATGCAGGTGGAAGTGGTGGTCATGAACAACCACTCCCTCTGCAACCGTCCCCATTCGCTTAGCGACGTCTCGACATTCCAATGTCGAAGAGGTAATCACCGACGGCTCTCTCCCGTATTTGTTACCACGTGGATACACGAAGGTTCTACCGATAAGTCTTCTAACATGAAGACCTCTCTTTCTTGTAGGTATATGGTGTAGGTATAAGGTGTATTTTATATGTGATGGCTTGCCTTTTTTGTTTAAGAGAACGAAAGTATTTTTCTTTTTCTTGTTCTCTGTTATGTTGGAAATTTCCAACTTGTGTGTTTCCTTTACTCACTGCCAATGAGAACAAAAACGGGTTCTGTTGTAAAAAAGTAAGTAGATGACTTCTTCAATTATTAGAAAAACGTCTTTTACCAGTATTTGGACCGCATCTACGGCAAAAATTCTAAAAATATCGCAGAGGAAATGTCATGTTAAGAGTCATTGCACGAGTGGCACAGCTTTTTTGCATACCAGTTGCTCAATCGGTGTTTGAGTTTTTGACTCAGGATTTTACCATAGGTAGAGGCAACATATACAGGAAGATTCCCAAAATTTTTTCTTTCGGACTTACTTCGTTAAAAAGTTATAGAGCTTTTCGTAAAAGCCCTAAAAA